TGCCCCTGCCAGCTGGGGATGAGCCAGCTGCTTCCCGCAGTGACGAGGCCGAGGTGGCCCCAGCCACCCACAAGGGGTGCTCGTGGGATTGACACTGGTTGCGATCACCAGGGCTGTAGGGGCAAATGTGGGTGCTGGGTTACCAAACTAGTCCCAGGGGGACGGGCTGCAAGCGCTGAAGTTTGTGAGTTTTGAGTATTGCTCTGGATTTGAGGAAGAGCCTCCCAGATGCTACCCAGGTCCTTGAGGCTGCGGGGCCAGGATGGGCTGGGCCGTTTGAGGGGTCCAACCCCAGCCTCCCCGCTAGACACAGACGGGGCACAGCAGCACTGAGACTCAGGTCCTAGGAGGGTGCTGCTCCAAGGAATCCCGCAGCACTCCCACTCCGCTCCAGTGCACAGTATTCCCTGGGCCTGCTGCCACCAGGGACTTCCAGGCACCCGGAGGTTTAAACTCCTGGTGTGCAAAACCCAAGGGGTTCCCGCAGTCCCGTTTGGGCTCTGCAGCGAGGGGAAGGCACTCTGGGCTGAGCTGGCAAGAAGGGCTCTCTGGGGGCTCCGGGGAAGGCAGGACCCCAAGGAAATTTTGACCAGGACACTTCTGGGGGGCTTTGTGCAACCTCGAAGGGAGCAGCTGGGCTTGGAGCTGCTGTCCCAGGGGCCATCATGGACCTCTTGTCCCCTCTTGCTCCAGCACGGCCACCCTGCCCTGGAGCCGGCTGGCCCATGGGCTTTGTGGGGACACGCTGGGGTCTCTGCTCACGTATCGCGTCCTCGCAGGGAGTGCACAGGCTTAGCCTCGCCCTGAGACCGGTCAGCGCCCAGGTATGTCCCATCTCCAGCTGGCCAGCAAAGCTAGAGGGACATGGGGCCACGTGCGGGTGGCTGGAAGGGGTCAAGCCCACCTCTCCCCTCACTGAAGCCCCCCGAGCCAAGAGAGGGACTGGAGATAGCAAAGAGGAATCGCATCCCCGCAGTGCCCCCCACATCAGCCTGCGCTGGGGGGGCCGTTCCCACCTCCTTCCATGCAGGCTTGGCCCCGGAGACCCCCAGCCCACGGGGCTCTTGGGGCAGCAGTGCCAGCCTGGAGCATCAGTGGAGGGGAACAGCCCCTGCAGCTGCAGGGCTGGTGCAGGCACGGCACACTGTTTTGCAGCACTCTCACAGTGCTGGTGCTCCATGGGTACGACCGCCTGGACGGGGCAGCGTGGGGATGGAGCTGGGTCTGGCGGCTCCCAGGTGGAAGCTGTCGGCCTCGCCAGGTCCTGCCTGTCCCCATTAGCAGTGCGGCAGCCCAGGAAGGGATCTACAAAAGGGGCAGAGATGGGGCCAGGCCTCCAGCACTAGCTGGTAATGGGGAAGGAGGCTTGGGGCCACCTGGGAGCTGGATCCTCTCTAATGCGCTTTGCAGCTGAGCCTGGACTTGATGTTTTTGAGGTATGTTTGAAGGGAGCCTGGAGATGGAGTATTGAGTCTCTTTCTTATGGCAAAATCCAGATCGCAAAGCTTGGTGTTCACCCAGGCTAGCAGAGTGTGTTAGGTGCTGTACAAACACTGCTGGCAGCACGGGCTCACTGGAGGCAGCGTGGTGGAGCCGGCAGAGAGCGGGCACTGCACGAGGGGCTGGGTGCCTGTCTTGCCCAGCTCTGAACGTCTCGTCCAGCTTGAGCATCTCACTCAGCTCTTGCATCAGGGAGCAACACGGCCATGGGGCCCTCCAGTTCTGTCGGCGCCGCCGGGGCAGTGCTGGGTCTGCAGCTGGCAAAGGCTTTGCTGCAGCAAGGAGCCTCATCCCGGGGGGGCCTAAAACTGCATACCCCCCCA